GACTCGGACTCCAAGCAGACTATGTATCATAGAAGAGAAATGGGTATAGTATGAGCAACCGAATCTACTGGTCTTCCTACACCGCATCACTTACTAGACCTATCAGTGTTGTGGTGGCAAGAGCGGGGACTAGCGCCCAATCTCGATTTCCTCCACCCTTCTAGTAATACCGCTGTTATAGTGCCACGCATCAACCAATTCCTTCACATACGACCATAGGACACTGAGAATTAGGCTTCCCGTCCGCTCAGCCATATACAAGCAGTGTACCGGCGGATTAGTAGTTAGGTGGGTGACCACTAGCGAATCCCCGCTGTTGTATGTTTTTGCCCTCTTTTTGCCCATGCAGCATCGCCAACACCGGCGCGTTCAAGTAAGAGAGCCTCGCATCTCTTTGCTTGAAAGCAAACCTTTTTGGAGCCCTGAGCCCAATATTGCTATCCGGAAACTGCAAGCCTTCAGCGGTCCCTAAGAGAGGTATGCGATGTACACGTAGGGATATAGGGACCAATACTGTAATTCGCGCGCCAAAGCCTCCATCAAGACTACCACTTATAAAGCTCTGCTCCTTGTGGATTGCTAAGAACCTTAAAACTCTTCTCCATAACCGCAAGGTCATGTAGACGAGTTTGATGTCCTACTCCTAGGTATCCCAAACAAGGTTTTCCTGGGCTTCGGTGTCGCAGCTTTCTTGATACCAAACAGATCATCCGCGATCTTTTGCGCTTCGGCACCTAAGTACTTCTTGCGCTTCTCATAGAGCTCGGGCGGAAATTCGAAATTACTGCGATGCTTTCGGATGCAATCAAGAGCTGCGGGCTTTCCCAACTCTAACGCGAAATCGAGCGCGGTTCGTCGGCTGCAAGACAGATTCGTGATCTCAAGAGACGCGTTCTCAAGAAGTACATCGAGAGCTTCATATGCGTTCTTGAACAGTGCCAAATGGATTGGGTACCTCCTTACGCCAGGGCATAAACGGCCTAGTATCTCAGGGTTTTGTTCGAGCAGGGCTTGCACGCTGAGGGCATGATTGCCCTCAATCGCGCGGCGAAGCTCCTGCATCTGCGCATCTTGCTCCTGCGTAAGGCCTCCTTGGGGCGCCACTATTTCAGTCTCTGGGGGATGAGGAGATCCAGGCGCAACAGCCGTCGACAAGATACTGTCATTTGAGATGCGGGGGGTGCTTCCGTATACCGGTGAGCTTGGGCTTTGTACAGGGTCCAAATCTGCCAAAGCATCCGGATAGACGTAGTTCTCAGATGCGACATCGTACTTTTCCCACTCTTGTTGAATGTAGGCAAGTCTGTCGCGCAGCTCAGATGCTCCTATCCGTCTGCCGCGATCGATCAGAAGAACTCTACCGATAACTACTTTGAGTATGTATAGTACGAACTTCTGCTCGGTTTTGAATGCGTATGAGTCCTCGATCAAAATGTTGGACCAGTCGATGAGACTGGGGTGTAGTGCGGCACGAAGCGGTCCCGCTGTATGAGGTATCACATCATCGCCCGGATCCCGACTTTGGAGATAGTGACAAATGTGTGAAGTTCGGTGTTTCCATGGGTATGAGTCGCTCCTTATGTAGAACAAAGGCTCTCTGCCGCCGAGATTCTGGAATCTGACCATGAGGGAACTCTCCAACTCTGTGACTTCCGTTGATTCGCCATATATGAACGCAAGTACCATAAGTGTGACACAGCCCATAGACCAGACATCACTTCCACGTCCTGCATGACTAGTCTCTTGCTCTTGTATTTCCGGGGCTTGATATAGACCGGTTGGTCTTGTTGCAGGTAGAGTGGACTCTCGAGAAGTAGCTGTCGAGGTCTGCGCAGATCCAGCCTTTGGCTTTTTCGCAGCCTTCTTTCCAGCCAGACCAAAGTCGCTGAGCTTCCAGGTGAGTTCATACTGCTCTTCGTCTCCGGAACCGGAACGAGTCTCGAAGATCAAGATGTTGTCAGGTTTGATGTCGAGATGGAGAGTGTCGAGCTTGTCATGCAAGCACTCTAATGCTTCGATAATGTCTACGAGGCTAGCAAGCAAACGAGATGGTTTGACGGCTTCCTGGGGTCGATTCCTGCCTTTGAGGAGATCACCCAAACTGAAACTTGCCAGTTCAAAAATGAGAGAATGTCTGGTCGGCATTCCTGCCCCGTCGAGCTCAGTAATACTACCCAAATGCAGCATTATCATTTTGTGCTTAGTCTTGTACGTTCTTAGTTCCTCCAAGATCCTGAGCTCGATCTTGAAGTCCTGAGTGGCCTCGAGCATATTGCGCGCAGGCTCCGCCGCCTTGAAGACTTTGAGCGCCACAACTTTCGTGCTGTTCGGATTACCAGGTACAAAGTCCGATTTTTCCTGGTCCTCGTTCTCTCGAATTTCCCAGTGACATTGTGCTATCTCAGCTTTGAAGACTTGGCCTTGAGAGCCGCTCTTGATGGGTTGATACCGGCCCATGAAAGGCAAGCGTTCGCTGGTGGTGACGTCGTGGTGCTCCAGCTTCTGAATCATGACTGGTTTGAATATCGCTTGATCCAGGAGGATGAGTCTGTGGCACCAATTTGGAACATCATATCCTTTCAGGGTGGCCTTCGTGAACGGTATCGATTCATCAGACGGTATAAGATTGTGAGACTTGGCTGTAGGATGATCGAACATGATGACCATCCATTCCAGGAATAACGAGAGCAATTCCTTGTTGTTTTGGTACAAAAACAGAGCAAGTAGAGCTCTCCAGGATGCTTCATCCAGTGGTTTGCGCTTCGTCGCGTCAATGCAACTATTGATGAACACCTGCATGTCGTCATTTATGGAATCTGAGCCCTTCTCTTCATCAGCAGTACTGGTAGCACTAGCTTGTAAGAACACGCCACCTCCGAAGGAAGAAGTCTCAGTGACCAACTCTGTGAACAACAGCTCCAACGACCTATCGTTGAGTATCTGGTCGAGGTCGGGTTTCGGCAAGAAGGCGCTGCGCTGCGCATCATCTTCTGCAACGTCCTTGGTAGTCCGTTCAACAGCATCTTGTAATTTCTGGGCCAGCTCCTCACACTGAGCTTTGCGTGGTATGGACACGCTGGTGCGCGAGGTTGAGAAACTAGGCCTGGCGCTCATCGAACCGGGCTGCCCAGCGGATCGATTATCAAGGATTCTTCGATCGTGGCACGCGACGGGACTCGCGTCGAAATGCAGGATAGACGCGCTTGGTGGAACCGGCCATGCGCGTTGGTCCCTGCAACGCAGAGAGAGGCCACACGAAGCTCGTTAGCTTGTTGCTTGACGGGAGCCACTGGTAGCAAAGTTGGGGTAAGATGTCCACTGGCACTCAGAACTATGGGGCAGCGATGCAGTAAGACACTTCCGGGCTGTAGGCAACATCGCCCATGTGAACAGCGTCATCGCTTGATTGCCAAGGGGCCGCGTCGCGCGGGGCCCCGGCGCCCGCGTGTCGCCAGGCTCCACTTCCAATCTTGAAAGGCTCGACCCGCCCGCAGCAGCGTGGCGTTCCAAGTGGCAGGCATGACACCGCGTGTACTGTTCCGCCTTCGAATACCTGCCTGCCGAGCTGCAGGCCAGTATTTTGACAACACGACGCCGGTGTATAGATGATGAGCAGGACCTACCCAGGTATGCAGGTAGGCTTGCGCCAACGCAGACATCCCCCGGCTTGATGGAGACCGAGTTGATCTTGTCTCAGCCTTGTACAGATTACATCAGGCTATAAAGTCCCCCAACGGCGGGCAGATGCTATCCTGCCTTGTCTCAGCTTCGCCACCACCAAGCCATGATCAAACAGCAAGCCCTCCAACGGTACTACAGCCGGGACAAGCTACAAAAGTTCCTCAGAAACAAATTCGGTGATAACATCAATTTCAACATCCAAAGAGCTGGAGAGGAGTACTTAACGTTCGAGGCTCCTGAGCTTTTGACGGCGGTAAGTCGCTCAGAAAGGCTCACTAGGCTGTGCTGACATCATTAGGATGACTGGAGGTAATACAATGCGCCCATTGTTTTCGCGACCGGTGAACGCTAACGGGAGGCATTCTACTAGTGATGCAAAGGACTGAGGCGCTGTGTCTGTCAGCCCGTCCAGGCAGTGCGGGGCCCCTGAGGATTGGATAAGGCCATGCCGCGGTTTTGGGAAGGCGAGGAGCGAACACGTACTTATTGCAAATATCACGGAGCGTCTCTGCGCAAAGTCTTACTACCCTGCAATTCACAATTCCGATATGTCTTTTAGTACTCGGCAAGACGACGAGAGTGCACATGACCTTCATGCACTCGCCCTATCAAAATCACAGATACAGGCCTGCATCCTCGGCTGCCATCAGTTGTTCTCGAAGCGCAAGGAGAGCCATTTGCTCAAGGTCACTCGCTTCGCACGTGATGCGTCGCATACTCCATCAACCCAAAGCTTTACCAGCAGTTCGCAACTGTCGGCTTACTTTGACAATAATCCAAACGATGCAGATGGACAGAGTAGTGATTTGGAAATATAGTGAGTAGACTTGAATAGTTCTGCCTCCAGGCTGATGAGATTTGTTAGTACGGTTCACCAAAAAGACACATGGGCGCCTCTCAATATCAGCAGCGACATGATATCGCTTCTCATGGATCGTTACCATCTGAGCCCTGGATTCCTTCAAATTTTGACGTGCTTCAAAGATCGACATCTGCCGACGGAAGAGGGATTCTCCAGCGCGTCGCAATCGCATTTCACGGATAAACGCTCTGGTATGTCATCTCTAATCGACATCCAAATCCAATGTGGTAACGATTGTTTAGAGTTCGGTTGGGTCTTCAAATATTCGGAACAGAAAGCTGTCACCACGGGAAACCCATGGCGCATTCGACAAACAGGGATTTACCACTTTGCTGACCAGAAGCGGGCGAGATCAACATTGTTCATTATACATCCGAGCCCGACCGCTCACTTCGACGCCTACATTCATCAGGTACTACAACAACCGGACGCCAGACTTAGGCTGCTGTCAAATCCCATGCTGGTCCACTCGATGCTGATATCTACACATCTCAGCTCTTGGCGTGACTATCTTGGGTACCACGAGGCTAAGCTTCTGCGATTGGTGAGCCTTTACGTCAATGATATCAATATTTCGGGGCGCCTACTGACCGATGCAAAGGACATGAAGCCAGCCTGTACGTCGCTAACGCAATCTTTGGTTACATTCGAAACCCTCAAAGAAGTCCGCGCGGTTGAGAACAAAATCTTGCCGCTAGAACCTATCCTCTTGTCATTCGAAAAGTTGATGAAAGACCTCGAAGAAGCCAACAGCGTCTTCTCTGAGGTGGGCAAAGTACAAGATGGCACTTCTGTAGTCATAAAAGCGGCACTCAGACAATTTCGCAAGGATGCCACATCGTACCGAAGACAAGTCCTCTACATGAACAAACGGGCCCAGTTGACTACTCAGTCAATGCTGGATACGTTAAACCTGAGTCAGAGCAAGAACACGTTTGATATGGGCAGATCGGCGCGAGAGGATTCTGTCGCCATCAGAGCGATCACGCTGGTCACGTCGTTCTACCTCCCATTCTCTTTCGTTGCCGTAAGTATAACATCCGCTATACACCTTAACTTATGCTGACGACTTACAGACAATGTTTGGCATGAACCTTGTGGACTTCGATTCTGAGTCTCGCAATCTTGTCCTCTCGAAACAACTCTGGCTTTATTTCGTCATATCAGTTCCATTGACTGCTTTGACGCTGGCTTGTTGGAAGTGGAGAATGCGGATGTATCGCGATGGCGACATGAATGAGGAGAGAAGATCAACGGTGAAAGTGAAACCGCTGAAGAGACATTCAGATATCGAGATGGGTCAATTCTGATACAGTAAGGGTTTTTCTATACCTCATTTCATTAGAATCTTTGACTGTCACGAAGGCGTAGTATGTGAAAACGATTGATGTAGATTTGATAGCGCTAGAAAGCGACGTAGAAGAGGCAGTAAGTAAACAGCAGACGTTGTGTATCAACCTAGCTTGACATGGGAATTTCGCAAACAAAGATCATCTGTGTCTATCGATTGCGGGACGTGATGCTTCAATTGGGTTCTGCATCGTGCGCAACCTCGGGTTGTTGGGCTGACGATACTCCTCGTTCGAGAGAACCTGATTGGATGGGCGCATGTGGATCTTGGAAGTTGTGAGACGCTCGTCGGCGTCGTATGCGCATCATCTCATCTACCTCATCTTCGCTCGAGTATGCAGAACCCGCGGTATTGGTAGGCATGGCCTTCGATTGTTGTGCCTTCTTCGCATTGTCCCACTCCTTCCTTGGCGACCCGAGTCTCTCTGGGTAGCCACACTCTTTCAAAGGCTTAGAGAACAACCGCAGGCAGAATTCTACTGGCTTGGTGAGTCCACGCGATATCTTCTTGAGAGTGTAGATGAACATGAACCCCGTGGTGATATCGAGCTGCTCGAACACTTGTTCCAGATCCTCTTTACCAGTACTGGGAACAAGCCAGAAACATAGGAACCATGCGAGGATATTAGTGCCTGCGAACAACAAGAGCACGCTCAACGGACCAAGCTTGACTAGAAGCCATGGGGATAAGACAGCGAGAAGTCCGGCCCCAATGAAATTCCAACATACAGCAAGACTCATACCAAGTTCTCGATTGACAAGCGGGAATACTTCGGCTGAGATAACGAAAGCTGCTGGGCCTTCTCCGATAGAATATGCGATCATGAACACGACCAAGAAAATGTAGTGCCCAGCGATGGCTCCAGTATCTGGCCGGGTCGTCCGATCGTTCCCATCGGTTATGATCTTCTCCGGTATCTTCAGAACTAAGGCAGAGCCCAGCAGAGACAAGGCCATGATTGGGAATGACCAGTTCAAAACTCGTCGCCGTCCATCAGGAACGTCGATAACGAACAGAGCGGGGATTGTAGCTATAAAGTTCAAAAACATCAATCCAAGGGAGGCGCCCAGTAGCTGCATTTTCTGGTCGGTTGACGTGTCACATTTGTTGTTGAAGAAGGAGTACCGAAAAAAATGGTCAGCCATGAAAGCTATCAAGTTGATACCGCAAAGTTGTTGTGAGACCATTACCGCGATTGCAGCTCGATGTGCTCTGTTCGTGTAGCCAGAGCGGAAGAAAATCAACGTGACTCTCTCTCGCCAGCTAATATGTTGGATGACATCAAGGAAAGGGCTCTTTGCGTTTGTAGTCCTGTCGGCCGCACTAGACGTGTACGATCGGCGACCCAATGCTGCCTTCAGTCGACGCTGCTCATCGATGAGGCGCGTATGCATAAGGAACAGCTCGCCAGCGGCGATTATGGGGACAGTTTCGCCTCGAAGATCGACAAGGGACTTGTACGCCTCTCGAATGAGGTCTCCTCTGCGAGGATCGTTCTTGGAACGTTTGCCGTTTGAAAGTTTTCCCACGGCGCCGCTTTCCTTCAATAGCCATCGAGGGGATTCTGAACAGATGTCAGCCCTCGGGGACTGAGGATTTGGATTTACATGAGTCACTTACCAGGGGAAAAGAGGATCAATGATAGTAATATCAATGCGGGGATGAAGGCAGAGATGAACATGTACCGCCAACTCGAATTTACATTGAGGCGATACACGGCCATGTTGGCAACTGATCCAGCGGCTAGCCCAAATGCGACAAAAAGTTGCCAGAAAACCAGCAGAAAGCCGCGTACGTCTTTGGGCGAGGTTTCGGAAAGCAGGATAGGAACAATAGAGGCTTTGCCTGCCATGCCGGCGCCCAACAGGATTCTGAAACCGAGGAGATGCTCCCATTTATGCACGGAAGCAGAGCCTACAACCGATATGAAGCTGAATATGCCAGCAACACATATAGCCCCTCGACGGCCAAAGCGGAGGATTCTGGTGATTGGGTCGGTAATGATTAGACCTAGTATTGCACCAGCGAAGAATGGTACTCCGACTGTGACTCCCAGCAGCCAGGCATTACGATCGAGACTGGCATTGGGCTGGCCGTCCGCTGTGTTCGGGACGTCGAAGCCGGAGCATGCGGCGGTGGTATTTCTACCTAGATCATGCATTACTTCGATAGCAGCTCCTTCTCGTTGTTAGTTGACATGAGACGTCCGCTTCTCTCGGCGTGTCTTACCAGCCATAGCAGCTTGATCCCAACCCCTGGAAAGACGTTAGACACAAATCGTATGTGCTGAACACCACAAAGTCAGCACTTACTGTGTCATTGCTGCAAAAATGCAAGCGACAATCAAAAGCCGATGCAACCTCGAAAGACTTCGCAGCGTTTCCCACCTACTCTGTGGCAGGAAGGCCTTGTATAGAACTTCACTTTCCAATCTTGTGTATCTCTGCTCGCCGACATGCAACTCGATGGGCCTGCGCGGTTCGTTGGGGTGCTCTCTACGCCGCGTTTGGATACGTTCGAATACAGGCTTTATGTCGACCTGCGACCGCAAGGCAAGAACGCCGCGGACAAATACATCCTGCTCGACTGGTAGATCGTATTTCATGTGAAATCTGATGGCATTTTCCTGTGTGACTCCATTCAATGGATTATCCTCTTCAACACTGTCGATCATGGTTAGGAACTTTGCAAACACAGTGCGAGTAGTGAGGTCGTACCTGGGATTGTCTTCGATCGTCGGCTCATGTACAGACGCTTGAGACGCGATGGACGTAGCCATAGTTGTCGGGTACCAACAGATAAAACAGTGGAGCAGCACGCAAGGAACAGGGACCGGGTGTGGAGAAGATGTAACATAGCTTGTACCTGGAAACGCGTCATATATCTATGCAGCCTACATCAGAAGCTTGCCAAATCTCACAGCCCGCAAGAAGGCAACGAGGCGCCATGAGCCGCATGCCAGCGGGCTCTGCTGCGAATAAGCGACAAGTGTCTAGACTGGTAACCTACGCCTCGGACGCGATCGCAGAGGCACTAGTGGTATTGCCAGCTGTTCAGCTATCCAATATGGGATGTGGCGAACTCAGCCTGGCTGTTGTGCGACACGAGGGCGTGAGAGGTCGCGTTTATGGCCTAGGCAAAAGGTCCTTCTGTTCTCACCGGTCATCCAACCACCGCGGTGCGAGGCACAGGGTCAGACATTTTGTTTAGAAACACTTTGTGATTCATAACCGACCTCTTAGATCATCGACAAGGAGATAGATGGAGTTGTCGACATAACAATCTGAAAATGGTCGAAAATGATGTTGTCGCGATGGCCCAAGTAGGACGCGCAGATGGGGACGCGGCTCTAATGGCCCCCGCCCCCCAATATTTCGCGCTTATGCCAAGCCCAGTCCTCCTTTCACAACTACCGAATCTCCGACGGAGTAAATTTCTTTTTGCACGCCCAGGGCCGCGCTGATCGAGATCGAAACGGCACTCTTTCATCCCGCTTCTCTGCGTTCCGGCTTATGGTAGCCTAGCAGAACCTTTGGTCTGTTACCAGTACACTTTTCGCGCCAGATTGCCCGCTGATGATGCGGCCGAGTTGAACACCTCCAAGAACACGTGACGCGGCACAACGAAAGCGCTGCACGTGTCAATAGAGGGAAGAGCTTCCCTCGCATGTTTCGCTATTGCCTCCTGTCAATGTCAAATTTGATCTTGATTTACAACAGTGGCACCAGCCAAAGTCTGATGGAAAGGCCTTCTCGCCAATATTGCCTGCCACCACGTTGTTTGCGAGCTCCCGAGGCCAACAAGGCCAAATAGCCCGCGTCTATTGCTACTACGGCGCGTGCCGAATACCGCGAGGTTTTAGCTTGCATGATGTTTCAGATTCTCCTTTGAGCGATGGTACGAAAGGTAGGCTCGGTGATTGACCGATTGCGGAACTGTCAATGTTGTTGTCGTTATTCTCGAACGTGAGCTTTCTTGACAGGTCCAACGCTGGTCTAGTGGACGACCTCCAATCTCCAACGTGTTGTGCTGTCGCAGTCGTCAGAAACGTTCGCCCTTGCATCTGGCGCCCGAAAGGGTCTCTTTTTGGTCCGACCGCTACTGGCATCCGACGTCAGATCCCTAGAAGAGACTACACGATCGCATACTCCCTGCCACCCTCTGCAGCGAAGTCTATCCAGGTCCCCGGCTTGCTGGCCGTGAGTTCCAAATTGTATTCGAGAATGCGGGGACCGTATCCCGGCACGTAAGCGACATTGATTATCTCGTGTGACTGCGTTCCTGATATTGGTGCCAAGATGAAAGGAACCTCTGTCCCAAATAAACAGACTAGTATAGCGCCCTTGGGTACACGTCTACAATTATAATACCATGAGACGCCGAGGTGTCCTTTTTCAGTGACAAAGATGTCACGGCCTCCTGTGTGTCTATCGTCGTACCAAGAGTAATCAGGTGTACCGGATATATTAAGCGTGAAATTCAGGCGGAACCCATCTCTACTTCCGAGCAGAAGGCTGGCGAATTGCTCAAGTTCTTCGTCTTTTATACTTCTTCTTCGAAGTACTTGTAGGAGAGTACGTGGCGATATATCTCGAGGGCTTAAGATATCATGGTAAAAGTCGTATATCTCAGTGTTCGTTGTCTGATCTCGAACACCTGTGCCTTCGTATTCCCCGGACCATGAAGCGTTTTGTATGTCACCAACAGTACCAACATACCTACCATGTGCATAAAGCGTCTGGTAGTCCGTGGATAGGCGTATCGAGCCTCGTCGCTGGCTTCGCTCCTCCATGTCCAACTTGGAGTTGGACACGTTATAAAAGTGGCCGAACTTAGGAATAGAAGTGAAATCCAGTATCCAGGACGAATTGGTCATATGCGTCCGATCAAACATTCCGGTAGGCTTTCTGCCCTTAACAATATATGGAAACGCACTCTCTTCCAGAATACAGACAACTGTAGCCTCAGCCAGCACACGTGGCAGGGATTTCGAGTAATCAACTGCTATTGCGTCGACCATCTGGAAGTCGCATAGTCCCAAAAGTCCATAAACCTTATCGAGCAGGTTTGCACACATCCCGTTTTGTGACGCGACCAGGCACCAGTACAAGCCTCTGTGGCTGCCAGAGCGTGATCTAATATCTGTCAATGCCCAGACGCGGACACTACCTTCCGCCCACCCCCTATAAAGCTGAACATCGTCCGGTCTTAGAAATTTGTAAGCGGAATTATATATATACAAGACTGATTTCGAGAAGCTTGACCAACGTGTGCTCAAGCTACCGATCAGCACGATCGGGTTCCTTCTCGCTAATGCCAGCTCCTGAATGACCCAAAGGCGACGAAACCATGGAAGCTCCATAATGTCCACATAATGCTGCAATACATGGGACAAAAGCTGGGGTGGAATTACCCACTCCCTTTTGTGTAGCATGTTTAACCAATGCGCTTGGCAGTCGGAGATGTGCGAACAAGCTGCATTATCCGGCCACTCGCCAAGCCAGATTACGATGCTCTTCGCAGATCTATAGATCTTAGCCATATGCTGAACTTGACGAGACCTCTCCTGTATGTCCCGCTGATTAATGCACAGCGCGTCGATCCAGAGCATACGCCGTTTGTCGCAAACTCGAAGACGCCGCAGCCCCCGATCGAGACTTTCCGTGATGGGCAGCTCGAACTCATCGATCAGTGCTTTAAAAGGGCTTATTGCTGTACCCCAAGCATACGAGAGAGCTTCATATTCGAATTGGCAGTAGAAGGCAGGCTCGTACCAATGCTCATCGTCTGATTTCTTCTGATATGAATATGCCGGGGCGTATATGCTCTCGTATGGTACCTCGTCTGATTCCTCATCTGATTCCTCGTCTGGTTCCTCGCCTGGTGTCTCCTTATCTGTTGCCCGCTGTTCTAGCTTGACGGTGTGTAGCGACAGCCTAATCGGATCCTCGTACCCACCTGGCAACAATTCAACCAAGCGAATCTCTCCACCATCTGAATCGATGGGCTGATATGGCGATCTTTTTGAGCCTATGGGAAGTGGTGCGTGGAGGGCTTCCATTGAGCCTGACCTATGGGGCGACGCGGTAGCTTCAAGCGTTCGAAGATTCTGTGTCGCAATCGACTAATGATCGTTTCGATATATTTTGGGTATGGTTAATGCATATGAGTACAGTCGCTAGGGAGATGTAGGTGCGGTGAAATGTTTGGTAAGAGAAGTGAGATGCGAGGAAGCGAAGCGGGGAAGGAGCGATTGGATAGGTTTAGGCAGCCACACGAGGCTGATGACTAAGTGATGCCAACACGCATCTTCGGTGAACGAAGTGAAAGATCTACTCCTCAGCAGAAATTCCGTCTATCTCGAGGCTGACATGCTGACCTCTTTCTCAGCCGTTTCATATTTGAAGGGCGGATTTAGTTATCGTGTATCTCGTGTGTGTTGCGGGAGTGCTAATATGCTGAAATAGAGTAAACGTAATCATATATCAATCCAATAATTCGCAAGCGGGCAGCAAGAAACAACTTGTATAGTTGGCTAAAGGTACAACCTGTGCGCCCACAACCTATGATATATACATAACGAAATTCTTCAGGCACATTCAACTTTTGCACCGTACGTCTTTCTCCTCTCCCCTCAGCTTCCAGCGCGTGATCACCAGCCACAACCCGCAAAAACCCCCTTACTGCAACAGAGAAAAGCCAGTACCCTCGCCCGCAGCCTCCATCAGCGCACGAGTGAACTTGGTACGCTCGCTAGTTTGCATAACAGTCGGGCGGCGGGTCCAACCGATCTCAGTAGGCATTCGCTCGTTTCCTGCATCACATGCGTTAGCAACTGCTCTCTATCCATCCGCTCACAAAAAGATTGAAACTTACGCAGCCAGTACTCGATAAAGTCTTTCCTAACAGTACTCGTAGTCCCATCCGCCATGATCTCAAAGAAAGAAGCGCATTCACCCCAACTAAACCCATCAGCCAACAACGACGCCTTGTGCTCCGGGTTGGTTTTCTTAGATGTCTCGAGGCGTGCCATGCGGGCGTCGGCGAGCTGCTGAATGGTAATCTCTGGTGTTGTGAAGAAGGAGGCTGTCTCCGCCCACACGGTTTCGTTGAAGGGGAGGGGATTGGCGAAGAAGCGGTCAGAGCGACTCAGGCTGAAGTCGTGCTCCAGCACGCCCTCACGGCCCAGCGTGTCGAGGTCGAATGTACGTGCGAACGGCTCTGGGTTTGTGCGTACGGCTTGTGAGAAAAGGATGATGGCGTCGCTTTTGGCGATGTTGAAGCCTTCGAGCATGGCGTCGGCGAGGATGTCGCGGGTGATTCGCCGTCCGTCGTGCGGTAGGTAACCGTGGTTGGCGAGAGTGTTCATGCCGGGGCATGGGCCGCGTGCTGTTGAGTCACAGGTTAGTTGAGTGGTCTTATCACGACCAGATATCCCCACTAACCATCAGTGGGACCTGGAGCTGTCCAGTTCCTGGGTACCCAAGCCTGGCGAGAGACGTAGGTCGGGAAAGCCGAGGCTGACGCGACGATGGCGAGGAAGCTGATAGTTGATGAGACCTTCATGGTGGTTCTAAATGAGAGAATAGGAAGAGTGATAATGGGAATGGATATCAAAAATGAATGTTAACGAATGAACGATGAAGTTTGACTGTCAATGAGTGTTTTGCTTGAAGTGATCTCTGCTGGTGCCTATGAAGTCTTTGAGCATTCAGATTATATATCGACCTGCTTCGAGTGACAGCTACACATCGTTGTCAGGCGTGAAACTCGTCAATGGCATCGCCAGCCCTCGGCCCCAACATCTAAAGGACGTTGCACCACGTCATTTGGGGTGCCTCGGCACACAAAGTCGACGAAGAGATGCGATACGTGAACTTTTTGACAGTTTTCTGGGATGTGCTTGATGGATTCGTGATGGGGAGAAGTAAAAGAAACACTCGAGGACTTGGCGGTTGGAAATAAACAACCGACAAGCCACAACTCATTTCGCGTGCGTTACAACGATCTCGGCGTACGTAGGGAAGTGGGTCGCATCCTATCACATCGCGATGCGCCGGTAACGTTCCTCGGTTCGAAAGGACAGACCCATAAGTATTAGGATGGGAAACGACGTATGGGATTCTTCCTAGTCGGCCATCTTCTAGGGAGATTGGACATGGGGGTGCGCAGAGTTCGAAACTCTCACTACCATACAACAAAAGCTTTGGAAGTGATAAGAGATACCGGGTTCGGCAAGCTAAATTGAGTTTGTTGCAACACAAGCTCTGTAAAAGGCGATCCAGTTTGCAAATCGCTGCGATAGTCCGCCTGGTTGTTGTTGATGATCGTGAAGTGCCTAGCCTAGGCGGGGTGCTCTCTACCAGGTCAGCTGACGATGGCTCTGCACAAACAACAGTTAGGCCGACCATAACATTTGCGGTAGACCGTTCTGAATATTACCAGCTGATCGGTCGTGTTTCTCTCGATCTGAGGGTCGCGATTTCACCTCAGACTGGCACGAAACATCATCCCCACAAATTTAGGCCTCGGCAGTTTCGAGACATACCACATCCTCCGATGCTTTTTATCCAGTCCGATGAAGGACTCAATTTGTTTGGCAATAACCGTCATGTCCGCTTCGGACGCCTGCTTGCGCGTGAAGAACCAAGATTGTGGCACATACATCGCCCAGGTTTATCATCCAAATCTAGGCATGGATGCGACTGACATATGTATATCGCGGTAGGGGCAGCACGATCTTGAACGAGGGTGAGTCTAACATCACTGTAAGTACTTCTTCGCGTGTACAAAAACGTTCCACGGCCATTTGTTTTCAGGATCGTCCGGCCATCTGAAAAGGTTGTATCGTAACGAAAACTCCGAGTGGTATTCAAACAATGTTATACAGGTTGTTGGCGGTTGTGCGAAAAATCGACCGTGTCGACAAAGGGACATGTTTATCTCGAATGCGTAACGTTTAGTCCTGCGAGGGTTTCGGTGGTTCAGGCTGCTCGGCCAGGCGGTTGTCACCCTTGGGCTTCGATTCGGCGTGGAATTGTGCGGATCTGGGTGTGGTGCTGCCGTCGTCCCAGAACTCAACGTCGCCTTCTGCACTGAGGGAGCCTCTCTTGACTAGGCTGCCTTTCTCCCGCATGAAGTCCTCGATCGTGACAGACTTATCTGAAAATACCTGCAAGCTGTTAGCCTCCAGTCATGCCAACTCTTGATCGGCCATACCTTGAGGTGGTCTGCAATGAGATGCCGGTTCTTGCAGCCCGGACATTGGATCAAGACAGTCCCATGGTGGTACCCTTGCTTCGACAGTCGATGTGAAGAGCGTGTCTTGCAGACGTTGCAGGTAAATGTGAGTTCGTATGACGGGACTTGTTCGCGCTCTAGTCGTGAGTCTGGCGCATCTGTTGACGTGGGAGGGGCTGCGCTTGACTCAAAGCGGACTGTAGAAGGTAATCGCGCACGTGATAGTATGAGTGAAGGTCGTATAGCAGCTGACGTTCGCGGTGTGTGGAAGAGGCGCTTTGCGGGCGCTGGAATGCGCTTGGCATGGGGGATTCGTGCAGTTCGGGGCGCAGTGCTTCGGGCGATGCCACGCAACAAAGAGGTGGAGGAGCGCATGACGATATGACACAAACTGACGCGACTCAAAGATGGTGAAAGAGTGAGCTGGCGACTGTGACACGGCGTGTTAGGTATGACGAACGGAAGTGCAGCGGGCAAAGAATAATTGACCGAGCGCCAAGCCATGACGACGGCGAGCTCTCGTGCAGCGGGGACCCTCGCCCGCAACACGCCCGGCACTTGTACTTCACCATCACTCGCGTCTGCCGCCACGCGTGCCATTCCTTCACTACCACCCTCTCCGTGCTGCGTGTTAGTCCGCAAATGTTCCTTTGAACCACGGGCCTCTACCTCTCACCCACGCCACACCGGGCATCTGCACAACCAGCCTGCCTCCGCCTGCGACCGTATCGAGCTTTCGAAGCTCTAGATAGTTTACGATCAGAACAAGGCAGGAGCAAAGATGATCGCAGGACGAGGAAGACAACGGATACGGCCGCCAAGGAGGGTACGTACTGCGCGCTCACCTTCACTTTCACTTTCACTTTCCTCACGTGCTAGTCTACGCCGCTCAACCTCGCTGTCATACGAAGGAAATCCACTCTGTAGACTCAAAACTGACAATGGCGCGTTCGCAGGGTCTGCACGGCGACGAGGTCGATTTCGAGAACACGTGGGCCACCATCGAGGCGGCCTTTAGAGAGATCCACACAAAGAACGCCTCCAAGCTGTCGTACGAGGAACTTTACCGCCACGCATACCGAATCGTTCTGAAGAAGAAAGGCGAGGCTCTCTACGAGAAAGTTCACGAATTCGAGCGAAATTGGTTGAGCACCGAGGTCCGAGCCTCAATCTCGCAATTGCTATCAACGAACCTACTTGTAGACGCGCAGAGTATCGGAGGAACCACACCAAATGAGCGACGTGTAGCGGGCGAGAGGTTCTTGAAAGGGCTAAAGCAGGCATGGAGCGATCACCAGATCTGCACCAGCATGCTGGCAGACGTACTCATGTACATGGTAAGATGATATTTCGACTGTCTAAGCAGAGTCTTATAACTAACACGGCCTGCTTAGGACCGTGTCTACTGTGCTGACCATCGCCGCCCATCAATTTACAACGCAGCCATGGTTCTGTTCCGCGACGAAATCCTCAATTCCAAGATATCCCCGACCGACGCTCGAGCGATCCTCAACCTCTTGAACAACATTATCCTCGACCAGATACAGATGGAGCGCGACGGCGACGTCATCGACAAGCAGCTTATCAAGTCCTGCGTGTATATGCTCGAGGGCCTACACGAGGGCGAGATAGAGGCGGAGGACCAGCGACTGTACAACACGTCTTTTGAGGTGGAGTATCTGGACACCAGCAGAGCCTTTTACCGCGAAGAATCGGAGCTCTTACTACGCGACGCGCATGCCGGCGCATACTGCAAACACGCGCGACGCAGAATTTACGAAGAGGACGAGCGCTGCAAGCAAACACTTCTGGACACTACGGGACCCAAGATCCAGAAAGTCGTAGAGGAAGAGATGATCAAGTTCCGGATACACGAGCTTGTAGAGATGGAGAGCGGTGTACGCTTCATGATCGACAACCATAGACTTGAAGAGCTGAACCTCATCTACGACCTAAACAGGCGAGTAGATGACAAGAAGATCCAGACAACCAGAGCCATTCAACAGCGCATTGTCGAGATGGGCTCAGACATCAACAAGGACGCGATCGCGGCGTCACTAGCGCCAGCCGTTGCACCTACTGCCGATGCAGCGGACAAGGGCAAGGGTGCCGCACAAGAGAAGAGCCTGAACCAGCAGACTGTCGCTGCGATCAAGTGGGTCGAGGATGTCCTTGCCCTGAAAGATCGGTTTGACAAGATTTGGCGAGAGTCATTCGAGTGCGATCCGCTACTGCAACAGGCGCAAACAGCAAGTTTCTCCGATTTCATCAACTCAGTGACATTCCCACGATCATCCGAATACATCTCCCTCTTTATCGACGAAAACATGAAGAAGGGCATTAAGGGTAAGACCGAGGCTGAGATCGACGCTGTCCTGGAGAAGGCTATCATCCTGCTACGATACGTGCAGGATAAGGACCTTTTCGAGCGCTACTACAAGAAGCACCTGTGTCGCCGTCTGTTGATGAACAAGTCCATTAGCAACGAAGTCGAAAAGCAGATGATCTCCAAGATGAAGATTGAGCTCGGCAACAATTTTACCCTCAAGCTGGAGGCCATGTTCAAGGACATGACCATCTCCGAAGAGCTTACCGCCGGTTTCAAGAAGCATGTAGAAGGTCTCGGAGAGAAGGATCCCAAGCGCATCGAGCTGTCTATCAACGTGCTGACCAGCATGACATGGCCGCTCGAGACTATGGGTGGTGCTGCTGCCGACGAAGAGGACAAGCGACCTCGATGCAACTACCCTCTTGTTGTGGACAAGCTCAAGCGCGGTTTCGAGAAGTTCTACAGCCAGAAGCACTCTGGACGACAGCTTACCTGGCTCCCCAACATGGGATCAGCAGACATCAAGGCCGTCTTCCCCAAGGTCCCTCAGAAAGATGGCTCTGTTAAGGAGCGTCGCCACGACCTCAACGTATCGACATACGGCATGATTATCCTGCTTCTCTTCAACGAGCTTGATGCCGGCGAACGCCTGACATTCGAAGAGATTCAGGCCCAAACAAACATTCCTCCCAGTGATCTGATCAGGAACTTACAGTCGCTCGCCGTAGCACCCAAGACACGCATCCTGATCAAGGAGCCTATGTCCAAGGACGTCAAGCCCACCGACAAGTTCTCATTCAACGAAGGCTTCCAGGGCAAATTCGTTAAGATCAAGGTTGGTGTCGTCAGCGGCGGTAACAAGGTCGAGAGCGATCGTGAGCGTCGCGAGACCGAGAAGAAGAATGACGATTCACGAGGCTTCTGTATTGAGGCTGCCGTGGTGCGAATCATGAAGTATGTGTCTATCTACATTTATCGCGGGGAAGACACTAATAACCAAATAGGCAACGTAAAGAACTCTCGCATCAACAACTCATGTCCGAGACGCTCAGTCAACTCGTCGGCCAGTTCAAGCCCGAGGTCAACATGGTCAAGAAACGTATTGAGTCACTTATTGAGCGCGAATACCTGGAGCGCGTAGACGGAGTGCAGATTGATTCGTATAGGTATCTAGCTTAGAGAGCAGAAGAGGGGTATTTGCACAGCACTTCAGCAGCATGTTTGCAGGCGTTTTCGGGGTCCGTCGCTAAATTTGAGGGAGCGGACTACCCTTACGGAATGAATGAATGCATAGCTTGGCGTCGATGGAGTCAGGGTCAGGGAGTCATGTGGGAGATTTTTGTAGATACCTTTACAATCAACAGAGGTGAATTTGGTAATGAAGAATATGAGGATGTGTATACGAAGCACTTTGCCGTGAAAGCATGTGTTTTCTGATTGCAAGACATCGGCGAAATGTCTGCCTCCTCTCTATATCTTGCTCCATTGTTAAGATCGTCCAGTCCATCACTTATACCTCCCAACAACCTTCCTCCTCTTCTCAAAAGCATCCCCAGCCATACTCCCACTCCCCCTTGGCCCATCTCCGACAGGCCTCTTCCGGCTCTTCTCCAAGCTCCCCAACTTCCCACTCTTCTTCTGCGTCAACTTCTCAATCCGATCAATCCCCGCGCCCAAACTGCGCCACTCCTCGCCACCAAACCCGCCATCCCGCTGCTGCCTCGCCTTCTGCTTCGCAGCATCCTTCTTGCTACCCGGCGCCAAACGCGTAAAGTTCGCTTCTTCGTACTCGCGCCTCTCGTTCTCTTCGCGGCGTTCGCGTTCAGACTTTGTGTGTCGGCCGCCGTGTGTGATGGTGCTTCCGATGCTGGGTTCGGCGATGGGCGCGCCCGAGAGTTCGGTTGCGATGAATTCGTCGAGGGTGGCGGATTTTCCGGGGCGGCGCTCGCGGCGCTCTTCGCGGCCTTCGGGTGTGGGCATCGCCATGGGCGTTATCTTGGGTGGGCGGTAGATGCCGTCCTTTGCGGTTTCGGCGCGCGCGCGCTCTTGGGCGGCTTCGGTCTTTTGACGTGTTACGAGGGCGCGGCGGGGACCGTATGCCATTTCGTCTTCGTCTTCAGAGGTTTGCGCTGTGCCTGCTGATTCGGCGTCGCTGACGTCCGAGTCTGAGCCCGTGTCCGTCGTCTTGGTCTTCTTTGGTTTCGAAGCGGGTTTTGCGGTAGCTTGGGTGGTGCGGCGTGTGGCATCGTCGGCTGTGCGGAGAATCTTGTCGATTTGATATTTCAGGCGGCTTTCCAGCGGTCGTACACCCTTTTCTAGGTAGATTCGCAGTTCTACTAGCTTCTGGACGACTTCATCCTGGGGGTGGAGGTTCGTTTCTTGCTGGTCGTCTTTTCGTGCTCGGAGCTTTAGGAGGATGAGGAAGACGAGGTTTTGTAGGTAGGATAGGAGCAGCTCGTTCTTGACATCCAGTAGGGAAATGCCTTCCTTTGGTGGTAGGATATCGTCATTTGGGAGAGCTTCTGTAGCGGATTGAATTGATGTAGTAAGAGTCGCGAGGAGCGACTCCAGCGAGTTGTCGACGGCCATGGTTTTCAAGGACGTTGTGGTGGTCGTTGCTGCCGCGCGTCGTACCTATTGAAGTTGCAAAGAAATTTTAGTGGGGCTTGAACGCGCCAAACGCACGGGCCACTGCGGTCATCGCGTCGGTGGTGGACTGCCTGTCCCAAATCCTTCGTGTGACCTCATAATGTCAGCATACCAATACTCGCCGTGTTCGACTCCAACCTCGATACGGCTTCTCTCCGTCTCCGGCACTCAAGATGCTCCTGCATACAAATTAGAGGAGGTGGATATCAGGCAAAAGCCGCGTTTCGAGGCGCTCTCATACACATGGACCGACTACGATAACGAAGAGCCGGAACCCATACTTGGAGATACCAATACTTATTCGTCTATTCAAATAACCGGCGCTGGCTCTCTCAGGATAACGGTGCATCTAGCGCGTATCTTGCACCATGTTCACGAGCTCCTGACACAACCTGATTCAAGCGGGAAGATTTGGATTGATCAGATTGCTGTGAACCAGCATGATCTGGACGAGCGAGGCCACCAGGTCTCTCTGATGTCGCACATCTATGGACAGGCGGAGCGGACGCTAATGTGGATTGGCATGTCTCCTGAGCATACGCCTGTACTACTTGATCTGATAAGAAACTTGGGCGAGCTCCCACCGCTTGATGTCCATTGGACTGAGGAGATGCACAAGGATCTGGAAAGCAGATTGATTGCTCTCTTTTCTCAAGAGAACGATACAGGCTATACAACAGCACAGTACATTCAAGCATTGACTTGGGCCATTGGTCGCCCGTACTTTAAACGTGCATGGATTGTCCAAGAGATCGTGTTATCCACTCGGCCCACGATGATACTTGGAACGACACCAACTGAAATATACGTACTTTATCGTATCATCTTCGTCATCAGATATTCCTCAAAAGCGGCCCTGCAAGTCGTTTACTCGCTAATCCCAGATCACCTCGGAGTCGATCGCTTGCTGAGCATGGACACGGCACGTAGATGGCTACGAGGCGACCCTAAGCAAAGCACCTTATATAGCGACTTCTTGGATGTACTGTTCTGGCTCTCATCATCGCGTGAGGCCAGCGACCCAAGGGACGCCATCAATGCATTTTTAGCTTTTCAAGAAAGAACCTCCGCTCTGGACTTCGTTGCAGATTATAGGATGTCTACTGGACAAGCATACCGGAAGTTTTGTGCAGATATGGCGCGGAAGACTGGCTCGCTTGCGTTCCTGGGGCTTATCCGCGGCAGCGCAGACGAGGAGATGCCTTCTTGGACCATAGACTGGCGAGTGGACGTCTCTTCTGCAGGAGACAGATGGCAGGGTTACAGGATTGGTGACACTCCACATTACCCGTACGCCGCCGCCAAAGGGCGTCTATGCCAAGCGAACGGAACAGAACAGGAACGCGATGTGCGTTTGGTTGTTCGCGGCCGGATCATTGACACGGTCCAATTCGTGTCAAGTGTTACCCGGGAAGAGATCGCAACTTTTGGAGTAGAGAATGTACGACTGGCCGAAGAAATGGCTAACCTCACAAAGACCATGCCTACAGTGGATATCGATACGTTTGACGAGATGAATACTGCTAAGGAACGTATATTCGTTACGCTCTTGGGCCATGATCTTGGTCCGCAAGCCCTCACAGAGCCTCTACAATATACTATAGGCGATTTGATCTCAATGTACGAACGCTTCATTGAAACGAAAATATCCGAGCCCGTGAGCGAAGCAGTTCACAAAGAGAAGTTCCCTCAGATGAACCTGCGACTCATTCACAAACGTCTCTTCCTCGGCCACAAGCAATTGTTTGGGCTTGGACCAAAAGCCGTTCAACCTGGCGATTGCATATGCATTATACACGGATCTACAGTCCCTCTGCTATTGAGGCAGTGTGAAGATGGGAAAGAGTACACGGTGGTCGGACAGTGCTACTACGAAAGCTGGATGTATGGCGAAAAGGTCGATTGGGATGAGGACGCAGCTGATGAGTTTGTACTGGTATGAGATAAAGGAGAGCTCAGCTAAATCACCGCTGCGTCTGAGCGATGATCTTCGAGCCAACGTCACATCCATGCTTCAGTTCATGCACACCATCCAGGAACCATTTCTTACCCCTGTCCAATACGAAAGAACATATCTCGACGTCATTCCCAAATACCTGTGCCTCGTTTCCGCTTCTCGGTGTCGTCTTTACGCAACCAGATACCTCTGGTGTTGTCATGCCACCGGAGCGCGCTCCCGTCTTTCCGCCTGTGGCGCCTAGTCAGGAATAATGCACCAATCACGATATGCCGTCCCAAACACTACCAAACGCTCTGGTACATGCGATCCAACCAGCGATCAGGGTCATGCATAAACATTAGACGCTAGTCCAATGTTTTCTGGAACGTTGCCTGACCTGGTGCATTCCCTACTCTCACCATCAGATAACCCAAGCCATGGTCTTCGCTGACTAGTCAGCACACCGTTGTACGTAGTCGGCGACGCGGCAATGTGGCTACAGAACACGATACCAACAAACGTTGAAACGATTTAGGGCTCTCAGAAGACTAGCCGATGTCGTCCATCAAAACATTGGTGAGAGACAAGTATATCCAACGTGGCTGTGAGACACGGCGTGCTCCCAAGCCACCACTACAGAAGCCAAACATCCCGCATCCAGCACGACGGATCAAAACTGCTTCGACTCACATAACAGTCAGCGTCATCACCCCATGGTCCCTCAAATCCGTCGTCTGCCTGCATCTCATCCCCCAACAACCCCTGTCCATCTCACCCACACTCCACGCACGACGCCCGTATAACGCATCTCCGCACCTCGGCTTCTCGAAGGCGTTCACAACATTCCACTACGTTTCCAGAAGGCCCGAAAAGTAAGTGGGTGTACGGGTAAAGTCACAGGAGAACCCCAACATGTGGGGTAGACCAGGCCACCTACCGCACCCCTGGTCTGCTCTTGCAGGATCTATATTACATTTCTACCAGGGGGTGCGCGCCTTAGCTTCACTGTGAAGGACCGCGCGGCGCGCGGGCTATGGTCAGAGTTGCGATAATGCGTTTCACGTGTACTGATGGCACTATGGATGGTGATAGGATGGTATTTCGCTATGTGTGTGGGCCGCATATGTGCGTTCTGGTGGAGTAGCCTCATGCTTCATGCATGCGAGATGCCTCGTGTGGACTTCGGTGGGACGCTTTGGTCACCGTAGAAGTGGCAATGCGTAGCGGAGCAAGCCACCGTGCCGTACCGAGCCCGGATTGATATGGGGTACATCGTGGTACCCACAGATCATCTCTTCAGTTCATTGCGGTGACCCACCCAGTGGTTTCCTGGCTGTGCTTCGCCACCACGCGAACTTGATCTAAGCACCTAAGAAGATCAACGCAGCGGCTTGCTGGTTGCCTGAGTTTGCACAAGATCGTCTCAATTGGTATGATCAGAATCTCGGTGGAGAACTAGTTCTTGTCGAAAGCCGATCTAGACACTGTATCATGCCAAACTGGCCTACATTGAACAGTGACTCGCCAGAAATATCCGGCACATATACTCGGGGTACGGCAGATGTGAGGACCTGGTTCATGGAGACCTAGTACTTATTTGTCGCAACGTCCGATACAGGATGTCGGGGATGAAGGTCTGTGCTGGACCCAGAAATGGGTTCGTCGAGAAGCGCCGAGTGTGTCGTGTAGATGATAGTCGCTGTCGCGTGCGATCGTCGCTCGACTTGCTGATCCATCATATGGTACGCGGAGGCTACCAGAAGTGGAAGGTCGCTTCAGCTACTCAGGTATGGCAAACAGGTGGATCCGCGTTGTAGCTTTCCTGCTTTGAAGAGACGACAATCGTGGGCATGTACTGGGTGGCAATCTGGTACTGCGAGATCAGAGTCATACGTCAAATTTGAGTCCTGCTGTCCGTAGCCACATCTGTCGTTTTCCTTCGGCTTCGCGAATGATCTCAGCGGAAAGCTGTAGGCTAGGTGCGAGGTGAGCGTATCGCTCCATTTCCAGAACAACGTTGTTGATGATATCGTCCATAGTCGCTGGTGGGGGAAGTAGCTGAGATAGCGAAGGAGTCATTGTGGCGCCCATGATGAGCAATGTCTGGGAGATGATGCTACAAAACTGTCAGCAAACGCAATGTTGGCAGCTGGTGAAACTTACGAGAGAGCGCCCTGGAACAGATAAGGCAGGTGTCCAGCGTGGTGCGCAGTGATGTACTCCAATTGACGAACGCATGCCTCCAAGCACTTGTGGCAATTATCCTGCACACTTGAATCCATGGCCAAAGTCTCGTCCTGCAAGACCAAAAGCACGTATGGACGGAATATGATGGTACGGCATGCGAAGTAGCGCAGTCTCAAAACGGTCTGAACCGGATTCTGCAAAGGCACTCTGTCGAGCGGGAACTGCATGGCTGGCGGTAGCCCAGCATACCATTGGTTCAGTTGGTAGTCAAGTTCCACAACCAAAGGATCCAGCTGAGCGATGGATGTCGCAGCTGGGCCTTTGGAATAGGGTGTCGTTCGGATGTAGAGCATGGAGCTCACACGGTTGAGTAGTCTACGAAGGGCAATCTCTGCAAGGAAATACCACAGTTCATCTCGGCCAACTGCTTCTGTTCCTAGATCCTCAAATCCGGTGGGAAGTGCAAAGCCTTCCTCAAATTGAGCGAGGCCGGAATGGGGAAGATCGAGCTCTGCTAGTAGGTCGCTTTCGATCATCACAGCATTCCAGTACACTCTTCTGCCCAGCTCCTCTTCCGCTGGAGATACGCGACCAGGCGCGCTCAGAAGAAGCTGCAGTTTCATGCTGGCGCCTGATAATACGTTCCAAGCTTCGACTGGGCGTACAAGATACACCAAGTATGCTGCGGCGAGGATTTGACATTGTGCAGCTACCATGTTGTTTCTTGTCATGACGGTCGGCAGTAAGCTCCATGCTGCGGTAAAGTATGCCAATCCTGGGGGATCTTTTTCAGGGTTTTGCTGCGTAATACTGCCGGTGCTTGCAGCATGACCTAGCGCAAGAACGAGAAGAACTATGCAGCTCTCCGGCCCATCTCGGAAACCATGGCTGAGGGCGGTCTGGTAGTGGCTACTCCATGTATACGGATTTACAACCGCGTAGAAGACATTCACTCTCTCAAAATACGCCTGCACGTATGCGCCAGTATTCGAGAGATCCAACCCACGGCTTGTCCCCAGGCTTACTGACTCTCGAGTCATTTCAAGCTGGAGAAGAAGCTTGGCGTCATATTGGCGAGACACAAGCTCTCTGATCATTGGAGATGACAGCAGATTGAGTGCCGCAGTATTGTGGGTTTTCGGCATGGTCGAGATGTTTGACGGGTGGTTGGTCCATGTTCCTATGCCGTTGATCGGCTGTACCATGCCGAGATGGGGTATATTGCCGGTGCTACGGGCGAGGAAATCTTCGCTGGTGGAATTGCTCGCGGCTGGCGAATGCGATGATAATGAGAAATTACTAGTGAGGCCAGATTGTAAAAGACCCTCGATGCGGTTCAGATGCTCTAGGATCAGCTTGTCACCCGCGTCCAGCTTAATGCCCGGCTCTCGGTATATGCACTCGGCATTCAGCTCTGTACACAATCTGCACTTTGGCCTGTTTCCGTCGCATCGGCTTTTCCGTGACCGACATATTTCGCACTATTAATTGTCAGTCTTCTGAGATGGACAGGTCGAATAAGGATGATGTACAGCGATCGTCGCACGCCGGCGCGGGTAGTCTATCGTGTCGGTACTTGGGCGCTTCTTTGTGCTCGGTCGGGGTTCGGTGCTGGTGCCGTTGGTACCATTGCTAGTAGGTGCGATTCCATTCGACGCGGGTGGGGTGTTGTCATTGGACATTTCCCGGTCTGTACCAGATGATTGAGACATGTTGCGGGGCCGCTTCTTGAAGGGATTACTCAAACCACCGCTTCCAGTAAACAGTCCATTCGGGGGGTCGAGCAGATGAGGAGACGTCAGGGCGGATTTGAGGATAAAGGTATTTGCGTCGGGCAGAGCGGAGAGATTGAGGCAGAAGGCGTCGCGTGGGAAGCCTCCATTAGTGGTCGCCGCTGACACGGGACTAACATCTGGAGAAGGAGTAATTCCAGCCATGATTGGTGGACGGTTAGACAGCGGCCGGGGCACGCTGCACAACTTCTGCGGCGTGCAGCCACGATATCGAGACAGAGTACTGGATTCCAAGGCGGCACAGGGTGTGAGACAGGCGTTGCTGATGAAAGCAGGACACAGCAATTCGGCGTGAAGATGAGACGGCAGGACGCACGTCGATTATAACCACACCAAATCTCGCCTCATCCTTAGCTCCTACACCTACACATGTCACGAAACGGGCTCTGCAAGATGAGCGAGGCGAATGCGGGGGTGACAAGGGCATCAAGCACTCCACATTTGCGCTCTGACAATCAAAAAATGGCGCCAGTGATCCTTCCAAGGGTCTCGCGTCGAGCCGTGGCCGGCACGGTGATGATGCTACCCACCCACGGCCGCAGCTTCGCCCGGTCGACGATAAATTGCCTGCAACATGCCGAACGTTAGGGTAGACACACGATCAGCGTAGTGGTGGTGGCAGCCTCGAACGAGTGGTGGCAGCCTGCTTACAGAAGGGTCTGCAGGAAGCACGGAGCATGCGAGGCATGCGGTGTGTCTGGAGAGGCCCGCGAAGCGAGCTGCCTGCCCTCCAACTCTCCAGCGTGCTAACCGCGTACAATAGGCTAATACACCAGGAAAACGGCCGACCTAAGATCGTACTGCGCATGCTATTGCCTTGGCATGGTGGGTTCAGCATGACTGTGATCAGCGAACGGCGGCAGTGGACCTGCATCAACAGCATCTCCTGATCACTCGCGCTACGCCTTCACAAGTCCGCTGCATTCTCATATTGCTACCAAGCCACTCGAACTCCACTCGAAGATTTGCGACCTGTCTGATAGGCGCGAGCATGCTTCCATGCAGCAATTCATATTACCTTGC